AGAGTGAAAAGCTGCATTATCATGATCTGCATATTCATTATAACTGTGGTTCAGCTGCACGAACACAACAAAAAGGCTTCATGAACAATAACCTCTTGTTGTGAGACAGCAGTTCTTAACCACCAGGGAGAACATTATGTCTTCCAGCTGCCTGTTGAAGTCGACATTTGCGTTTCAACTATTAGTACGAACATTATGACCCGTTAGCTGTAGCTTTTTTTTTTTTAAAAACTTCCCTTTCCCCTCTGTTGCTATTTTAATTTCTGAGCCACAGTCAAAAGGCCGATGAAAGTCGTATATTTTTATCAATACTTTGAAGTAATTCTGTTCTGCTTTACGGAGCTATTTCAAGGCTCATATGCGTAAAAATGCCATCATGCATTCGAGGCCGCTGCTCTAGATCCTCTCCTTAACAAATTCTGAGCTAATCAGTGCAAAATCCACTCAGCCTTCTCATAAGAAATAATCTTTAAAGTGCAGGTTTAAAGGGGATGCTTGCAGGCAGTCGCATTAAAAGAGAAATTTAAAAAACAGAAAAAGACATGAATGAGTTTTCAATACATTATTTTGCTGAGGTTTCTTTGCATTAGGTCGCTTCATGCAATGCAGGTTGTTTTTAAAGTATATGTTATAACTGCAAAGCTGATTAAGAGCAAAATATAAGGAATGCAAGCTCCAAGTATCTTAAGAGCATACGTAATCACAAACCACCCGCCTTTATAACTAAAAGTTTAATTCAGATTAAAAATCTCTTTCATGAGTCGCTGAATCCTGAGAGCAGGAGACAATCTCAAACACGACTATCAATGGGTTATAAGCAATAAAATATCAGAGACAAAACAGTTTCAAGCCATGTTTGGTGCCACTTTAAGAGCAATCACTGTTCTTTACAACTAACTTAAACTGTCTGAGAATTTCAGCTCCATCTGTAGATTATTCCAAGAAACAGAGGCAGTATATTCAAAAAGTGATCTGACTGTCGTTGTTCTGATCAAGTGCTTCCTTAGATGCAGGAGGAAAAAAAGATAAAACGAATTTAAGTCCCACTTGAAAAGAAGATTTTTAGTGTGTGGTTTCAAAACAAATTCTGACCCATAATTACAGCTCAATACTTGAGATACATTTCAGTTTCAGCTCCTTCAGCAGTTAGAAAGGCGAGACGTTACCTGTTTGACATCTGAAAATACTGAATGACATTTAACTCGAATAACGTAGTTAGTAAGTTAAAACGGGGGTGAATACCTGCAGGAATCGGTGCTCTGTCTAACCTGAATGTAGTAATGATCATTTTCAAGGCTGACTTTGACTTCTATACATGTTTATCTCAAACAATAACACCTAAATATAATCACGTGTTTGCTTTAGTTTCAAACTCCACAAATGTGGCGATGCTTCCTCAACTCCAAGCTCCACGGTGAGACCTTGATGGAAACCTTTGTTGATTTTCTTCATAATTATAAGTCTGACTTTGGTTTTTCATTTCAGGAAAAGGCTGAAAGGGCAGAGTCGAGTTTGGCAGCTTATTTTGAGCAAATCTTTAATAATAATAATCCACTGCAGCAGTTCAGTGCTTTTCATTTTTTTAACTTTTCAATTTCCCCTCTGACACGCAGAGCTGAATGTTGCTGATCTAGGGTCGCTGGCCCCATCATCCTATCAAGTGTTTGTTCTTATGCTGTTTGCTGTCTCTTTGGTCTCCCTTTGCTTCCCCCACCTCACCCAGACCGCTGCCTGCCTGAGCACTCCTTGTTAAAATGGAGCTATAGAATATTTTCCTGATAAAACGAGTCCTAAGAAGACTGATAAAACCTGTTATAAGAAGTCAACTGTGAAAATATGATTGGTTTTGGTGGCTTTATGAAACACAAATGTACAAATGCCATACAACACGAACTCTCAATGATCATCTCAAAGTCTTTTCCATCACAACCACTGATTCAAGTCAAGGCTTCAGACTGCTCTTAATACTCCAATACTCCAGTGCTCCATGTGATGTCAGCACATGATATGCATAATATGCACACAGAGGCCCCACCCACCTGCTGTTCAAACTGCCTGCAAAGGGTTGGCCAGTCTTAAATGGAGGGGAACCACAAAGAAGGAACTGATGAGTTGCATAAATACTTATTGACTAGCTAGGACCACATCCTCATTGAGGTTTGAGTTCATTTCTAGTAGATAATGGCAGTAAGCATGAATTGAGGCTGTGGTTTGGGCCTCAGAGGGTGCTGGTGGTGGCTTCCAGGCTGAACAGATCCCCATGTACTAATGAGAGATGAATTCATTGAAACAGGCAAGGAGGGTGAGGGCACAAAAAGAGAGTATGTGGGGTCAAATATAGTCAAGAGAATTGGAAGAGGAGGGTATAACGAGTGATCCCGCTCATGAAATTCAAATAAATTACTTATTTAGTACAGTCCAAGAATCAAATGAATGTAGCTGGAAGTGAGCATGATAGAGCCAGTTTAGGTGCAATCGCCATCTCTGGGCATGCACTCCATTTCAGTGGTATGTATGCATGTCACACTATACACACCCATTGCACAACAAGCAACTATTTCTACAAAGGCACAGAAAAGTCTGCAGACGTTCAGCTTTGCAAACAACATGCAAACCGAAAAAAACGCCATCAAATCTGCTCAGCCCGGCCACACGGGTGTCGCATTGCATCCTTTTCATTCCTACAATCTGATCTTACACAATCGACACAGATGTTGTTTCAATTAAACATTCACCATCAGGCCTGATCAAACAGACTAGAGAGTTGGCAGACAGCCGTCGCTCACTGTGTCAGACAAGCTTTCCTTGTGATGGGATTTTTAGAGGGAAAGTGAATCGTAGCCATCTGTCATCAAATGCATCAACTATCAGCAAAGAATAACAAGTGTAATGATGTTGTTTGGCCCTTTAAGATAAGACCAACACAAACCAAGAGCGATCTCAGCCTGCAGCCAAGTGAAGATGCTTTTAATATGAATGAATCTTCATACACTTCAGTGCATGTCCTCTCAGCCTGGTGCGTTTTCAGCACATGATGCTTAACATTAATCTTATTTGACACCTGCAGTCTGCTTGTTGTTGCTGCGGCAGAGAGCTGCTGCAAGCATGGTGTGAAAATTTAAAATATACATAATTTGCTGATGCTGTGGTGCTGACTTTTAGTTGACTGAAACTTCTCTTAACCTTTTTTTCCCACCTCAATGACAGATTAGAAAATGAGCGCGGGGCACGCCAGAAGAAGTTTGAGAACCGCTCACTGAGTCACATGACTAATTTAAAAACACAAAACTTTGCAGCATGTAGACATGTTTAAAATCATCAAGCATGACTAAGCGCACGAGACACATGTGTCTGCAGTCCACCTCATGATGCTCTGAACAGCAGCAGCTCTGTGACAGTCACAACAACTTACACTTGACAACTCATGATGACATCACTGGGAGCTTCTCGGGTTCACAGCAGCACTTAGACAATTACAAAGCAGGTCCAGAAAGCAGATGTTTGTAAAGAAGAAGAAGAAGAAACAAAGGAACAAAAAAATTTGAACACAAAGACAACATAAACAATGGAAATCAAGACTAAAACTGATTCCCTGATTGGCCCAAACACACGTTGCACTTACGATTGAAGTGCCTGCGGCAGCCATGAGGCCTCCAAGCTCGGTTACGCATCCAGTTCAGACGCCGAGGCAGTTCCATGATGCCAAACTGGTGCCAGTGTGTAACAGCCACTCATCCATCAAACAGCAGCACCCTGGTTCCTCTGCCCATTCCCAGGTGAGATGCTCCCTCCAGACCATCAGGTGTTCAGAGTACTACCTTAGCAGCCTTGAGCTTTTAATACCAAGAATTCACTTCAGCTGCTGCCTGATCTCCACTCAGCGGGAGAGAGAGCAGTTTCTGTAGCCGTCATGGAGCTCGGCTACATTTCCCCTCCACTGCTTTATCTTTTATGCATGAGTCAGTGGAACTCAATTCCCATGGTTCTGGGGAGGAACACTCAGGCCTCTTCCCCCCAGCCGGGAGCACCTATCGACGGGCAGCATCTGAAGCACAGAGCGCACACCCCGTTGAAATGTGATGCCTCTGCACTGAGCCTCTAGGGAGGCGATGTGGTTTGGATGGACAGGAGGTGGGGCTTGAGCAGCCACCTGAGGAGACTGGAAGGTAGACAGAGCAGAAAAGATGCCAAGAAACAGTTTCCAGTCCGTAGAAAGATTCAAAAACAAGTGCGAAAGACCAACAATTCTGCTTTTCCTCATTGCTGTTAGTGCTTTTCTAATAAAAAAAGATTCTAGGTCTGAATGACAGTTTAGCTATGGGCAAAAGGTGACACCAATAAAATTTTAAAATATAATTTATTTAATAAAATTACTGAGATCAGTAGGAAACTTCTTGAGCTACAAACAGTTAAGGAATAAAACAGTCTAGCATCCCATTTGTGAACACATGGGCAAAGTGTCACTGTGAGCCAAATACTCAGGCTTCAGGCTGCTCTCAATGCTTCTCTGCAATTTCAGCGGTCCCTCCCACCTAATGGTTTTAAGCCTGCTGTTTGCAAACTTAATCCAGTTGCCTCTTGTTTTTTCAAACTCTCTGGCGACCATGACCTGGAGAGCTGTGAACCTACGCAAATATTTAAATCAGAAATCAATCATCTTGTGTTTAAAGGTTATTTGCTTCCCTTTCCAGACCAGACCATTGACAATTTCACTAGCGAATAACTCCAGGATACTCAGTCCAATGTGATATAAGGAAATGCCTGCAAAGGACCAGTTAAAATACCATTAAAAATATGTGGATTTTCATACTGATCAGTTGGGAAACTTTTAAAACCTTGATTTTATCAAAGCTGCTTATTTACCTAAAGGGTAAATGAGCTGTACATAAAGCTACAGATGGGTTATGAGAGGATGACCTCAAGTAGCAGTGAGTGCTAGGAGATTTTAGTGTGTTCAGGTCAAACAAAGCAAATGATAAGAACAGCCAGTCACTGAAGGATACAGTCTGTACCTAACTTTATTCAGATAAAACACACAGCTCACTTTCTACCTCTGAGTGAGCAAACACGTTTCCAGCCCACTGGAGAAGCTCGTTTGGCAAAATAAATCAGAACAGTGGAAAAAAAAGCAGGTTCTTAAGACACATTCAGCATAAAAGCTTTCAAACACCCAGAAAACAGACATTTGGTACCCAATGAAACAACAAATATGTTATAACATTCTTATTTTGCATTTTCTGAGAATAATAGGTTCATTTTATTACAGTATACTGAAATATACATATACAGCTGTTGTTGTGTTTAAACAGCCCACTAGTTTGTTTTAACCGATGACTACTGATCCAAGAAAAGCAAATTAGCACATGAAGCAACAAACCGTGTGCTCCCGTTAGCTCCTAATCGTGTCCAGAGGCTAAGCAGATTTTTTAATTTTTTAAATCTAAGGACTGATTATTTCTAGCTGATGACAAACTAACCAACAACTACTGCCCGTGTTTTTGTGATAGGCAGCTTCAATTTGAAGAAACTAATGAAAGATGACGACTTGAAACACATTTGGCAAACTTTACAGCGACATGTCGGCGACTGTGCTCAAGAACAAATGTGGCGATATCACATCATTAGACCCACCTCACTGAAGGCACGTATAGTCTAGGAACACAAAAAGTACACCACAAAACACCATATAAACACACTACAGCTGTGAATTTTCACTTTACTGCATGATGGTCCAACAATCGATCTGCTCTCTGTGACAACCGCCTATCTTCGCGATACATTAAAAACTGAAAAAATATATTAAATATTTCATCTGCAATAGAAATCCTTATGTTTGTTTTTTTTTTAAAGTGTAACAATGGTTGCTCATAGGCATCATCACTGAGGTGTATACCTAAAAAAAACATCAGATTTTTTTACTTTTAAATGGATCGTGTGCACGTATATGAAGCAACAGTACAAACATGAGACACAACACACAGAAGCAGAGACAGACTCTTATATGACACTTTGGAAAGTCTTATGACTTATCAACTGAAGTTTTTTAAGCTACCACTAGGAGGCGCCTGAACTTAAAAAAAGCCCTGAAGATGATGTCAAAGTTCCCACATGCAGCTGTGGTGGATGGAAAGCAGCATGACAGATTTGTGATCATAAATATACAGCAGGACCACTCCTTAATTACGCTTTTTTTTTAAACCATTTTATATATCGTCTCCTTCAAAATGAAAAATTTATGTGCAAAAACTGTTTGCTCTTCTTTGAGGTCTCAAGTTCAAAAATCAAGATTTTTGGACTAAATTTGCTGCTAAGATATACACTTAGTATAATTGTAACAATACACTGCGTTTGTGCTCTTGCCTATAATAAACAGTCTGAGTAAAATCCTGCTCCTTCCTTCTTTATGGCACATGTGTGAGAGAAGAAGAGGACGAGGAGATCGAGTAGTGTGGTGTGCTCATCTCTGCACCGTCTCCATCCGTCTTTAATAGGTCCAGCGATCATCTCATCTCAGCCCTGATTGTCTGCCGCTTCCAGATTGCTTCATATTGTGTTCATTCGTCCTCTTTTATCTCTCCGTACAGTACTTTACTCTGAGTTTGTCTATCCATCGATCATTCGATCTTCCCCGGGTCTATGTTGTCCAGATCAATATCTGGCGATGCCACACAACACATGCACAGTTTCTGGGTGTATAGAGATATCGCATCTATGTGAAGAGAGAAAAAGAAAAATCAGATGGTTGCTCAAGGGTTGCTAATTAGAAAAAATAGCCTTAAGTGTTACTTGTTTAAACTAGTCCAGTGTTAATAGTATAAAAAAGTAGCATTTCTAAAGAGTAAGAGTTTTATAAATGTTGTACTATAGAAGCCTTTAGTGTAGGTGGGTTTTATGCTAAACTGAACTATGAAACACTAATTCCAATCCCTTTACAGAGAGCCATAGCATTTCTATACATTTCTATGGTAGCTATAGGAAATATGAGACTGGTATGCGACTTTAAAGAGTTATGAGTAATAACCTAACACAGCCACATTCATTCACAGAGCTTTATACTATAGCTGTTGTCATATTACCACGTGCTAGCATCAATCCTCTATCTTTGTACCTAGAGTTAAGTTTCTTGGGGAAATTCTTCCTTTATAAACCAATTGGGAATTTAAATTTGCAAGGAAGATAAAGGATGCATTTCCCCTCAAAGGGAATGAAAAGCTAGACTGACAGCTTGGCTAGCTTGTTCTAGCCTATGAAAATATGACACTGAGCTCTTGCTGATCTTTCTCAGAGCTAGACCACAAATGTTAAAGGATAAAGCAGTAATAGACAAGTGCTTTAATAAGAAGGCTATCAAATGTGAGTTTCAGAGTTTCCTCAAAGCAAACAAAACCTCTTCTATGATAGGCAGTGTAGTGTTTCTCTTACTGAGCATTTTTCCAAGGAAGGCTGGTCTGGAGCTGCGAGGCAGATGGACACAAATGTAGTAGATCGGTGCCCCAGAAAGTGCCACACCAATCCCCACTAGAGAGTTGACAGTATCGCTGTAGAGCGGCACCACCACCAGGAATAAGCTGCACAGGCAGTAGACTATTGGGAAGAACAAAGACAGCTACAGAGAGGGAGGAGGAGAAATGGACAAAACAAAAGGATCAGACTGGCATTTTTGTAAAGTACCATCATGACTTTAAACATTGTCGCAACTCAAAACAAAAGAGGGTGAACAGTACAATACACTCACTGTTGATGGGTAAACAAAAAAAACTTCACAGACCATGAACAACACTTTACACACTATCTTTAATGTATCCATTTACATCTTGTGCTCATTGGTTTATTTATCTGTTCACAATCTGATGGGGGCTGTGAGCTGGATGATGTGGTTGGGTGGCTGCACCAAGGTGCAGTCTAAGATTACGAGATAAAAAACATTGGCTCACATTCAGAAACAAGATGTTCATACTTGTCACACAATCTACACTCATCATCCTGCCCAATGCTTTATATTTATTTATTTTTTTATCTCTGAGGTGACTGCACTAACATGTCTGAGCTAAATTTTACACCTGTTTGTATTTCAAGCTCACTTTGGTTATTAAGAACATTGCATCATTTTTGGTACCTTAACGGGTCGGTGCCGATCAGGATCTTTGATGCGAAGGTAGATCAGGCTGGCTATCGACAGGCCGATGAATAACCAGTAGTTGAAACTGAAGTAGTTGATTAACCGGAAAACATCTGGCACAGTCAAGTACAACAGAGACATGCCACCCTGTGAGAAGACGACCAAAAACAGACACAAATATTACGTTCAAGAGAAATACATTCATGACAAAGATGAAGAACCACAAAGATTTATATTAAAATAAAAAAACATATTGGGATACTTGCATTAAAAAGTAGGGCAGGAATCGGGGTGAAACGTTTAATATGGATCATACAAAGCACATTAGGTAGGTGGCCTTCTCTGGAACCAACGAAAAACAACCTGCGAGAAAAAATGACATTTCAATAAGAACAAAAGTCACTGTGCTGCTGATTGGTTAGTTGGCAATAGGACAAACAAAACAAAACAAAAAACCCATACATTTTGGGAAAAACAGAAATGGAGGCCACTAGATTTAGGAGTTTACCTCGAGGCTGCAATGATTGATGAGTTGAGGCCTCCGTAACAGGAAATCGCCACAGAAAGAGGAATCAGCCAACGAGCCCAGCCCAGCACCTCATCTGCAAAAGTCTGAGGAAGCAGCCAAAGTGCTTGTAACTCCTTTTCACTTTAGTAAAAATGTGACTCATCATTGCAGATGTGTGCCACTAATTAAAAGACACGAGAACTAATCCAACAAACTGGCTAATCTGCTTGCGGGAACCCCCTGATGTTTCCTGCTACTCCCCTTTGTTTCCTTTTCAAGGACGGAAGAAAGTGTAAAGCTCACACTGTTCCAAATAATCAATGAGTACAAATACTGTCAACAAAAAAAAACTACACAGATCACAGCAGTTTCACAGGACACTTTGTTAGAAAGGAGAGAAAGAAACAGTTACCAGCTAGAAGGAGAAGAACAGCAGGAACTGAGAAAAATGTTATACTGTGATGCCACTTTGAAACCTCTGAGTGGATTTTCTTTGTTCATATTGTGACCTGTGAGCTGAGCTGTTGCCAAAAGCTTGACTCGACAACGATGTGGCATCACTCATTTTAACCCACTCAAAACCCAAACATGCCTGAGGTGCATTATATTAGTGATATAATCAAGTTTAGGTTCAAACATCATCATGTTTGAACATCATCATGTTTGAACATCATCATGTTCAAACATGATGACTAAAAACCTAAAAACCTGACTAAACATTTTGCTGCATCTCACAGTTTCATTTCAACAGGGCAGAAAACCCCTGGCTTAATGACAGAACATTAGTAAACCATTAGAATAAAAAAAAAAGAGATTAGCAAATACCACTGACAAGTACAAATCTTCCTCCTTCCTGCACTAATCACATCATGAGCTCTCCTCCTGTTCCTGTGTGGCGCGCTAACCTCTTTAGCTAAATGAGGTTCCTGTCATCTCGACTCCTACAGTCTTGCATGACCAAGAGGGAGTACCAAAGCCAGATGCGAGAGGCAGTGGCTGTTAGATGGACTCAGAGAGACGACAGTCAAACACAGGAGGGACAGATCACATCCTCCTACCTCTAAGAGGGTGAGCAGAGGCTGTAAATACTGGTATGTGATAGGGCCTGTATGCAGATATGTAAACAAAGTGACTGCAGTACAGAGCTTTGGACTCACCACAGCAACAGCTTCACTGTTGAGCACTGTATCTGCGTCCATGACGACATAGTAAGCTATGTTGGTCAAGATATAGATCACTGTGACGATGGGCATTGAAATGGCAATGGACAAGGGGAGATTCCTGCAATGGAAAAATAGGAGGTGGTATTCATTAAGACTGTTAGATTTAAACTACTTAGCAGTACAGCAGTGTGAAAAGGTGTTTGCCCCCTTCATGATTTCCTAGTGTTTTGCATATTTGTCACACTTACATGTTTGATGTTTAATATTAGACAAAGATAACCTGATGAAATACAAAATGCAGCTTTTAAATGACGATTTCATTGATTAAGGGACAAATGTTCAATCCAATCCAAACCTATCTGGTCTCGTGTGAAAAAGTAATTGCCCATCTTGTTAAACTATGAATGTGTGATTAACTGCATTTTTTGGAAAGCTGAGTTCAGTTTCACTAAACACACCCAGGCCTGATTATTGGCAGACCTGTTGAATCAGGAAATCACTTAAATAGAACCTGTCTGGCAAGGGCTAATTATGCCACAGCACGCCAGATCTAAAGAAACGCCTGAGAAACAAAGTCATTGACATCCGTCAGTCTGGAAAGGTTACAAAGCCATTTCTAAGGCTTTGGGACTCCAATGAACCACATTGAGAGTCATTATACACAAATGGAGAAAACCTGGAACAGTGGAGAACTTTCACCACCAGGAGTAATCGGTAGGGGTGGGCGAATATGCTCGATGTTTCCACGCACGATGGATAAAATGGTTTTATCGCAACCATCAAGTATGAACTGCAATGGAAATATTAAGCTGTCTGCATGTAATTCACTGTGAGTTTGTTTTTCTCCCACACACTGTGAATGCATCATTAATAACCCCCTCCCAGATTTTCTACCTGGCACACTGCCCTTAGCATGTGTTTATAAACTACCAGATAGGGAAAGATATGAGGACAGTGGGAGTTTCAGATGAGTGAAGGAATGAGACTTCCTGTGGTTTTTGTTTTTGGAGGTTATTTAAACATATCGCGATGTGTATCGTGATACAGCCAAAACAAATTTCGTGACATTAGATATTCCTGCTGAAAACTCATCCGGGATTTCACAAAAGAATTATGAGTGGGCCAAAATTCCTCCACAGCGCTGTGAAAAACTCACTGCCAGTTATCGCAAACGCTTAATTTAGGACTGCAGCTATCGATTATTTTAGTAATCAAGCAATCGCTCAGTTATTCCATCAATCAATCAAGAAATTCGATAAGAAATATTTTTTCTCTTATTATTGAGCAATAACAAATATACACAGGTTTTTTTCAAAATGAACTGTTGATTGCAATTTTTCAATCTGAAAAATGTTATGAAAGCCTCGAAATTAATCTGGTCTTGTCACAGTCCTGGGTCGGTGACCCAGTGTTTTGAGTTTCTTGTGTCTCTGAGTTTTTGTATTATGCTCTTAGTTCTTTGTTGCCCCAGTTTAATTTATAGTCTAGCGTAGGGCTGCACAATTAATCGTTAGAAAATCGCGATCTCATTTCGAAATGACAACAATTTAAAAAAACAAAACAAAAACAAAAACCAAAAAAAAAGATGACGATTGTACCACATTTTGATCCGGGACATAAGCTGCACGAAAACAAGCGCTCACTCTTCCTGCTCAACAAATGACAAGGGCGGAGGCTTGTACCAAGTGATACAGAAGTCAGCTGGCAGGGGAAAAAAAGCACGTGAGAGATGATGAAGCTGTAAAGGCCAAAAAAGTGACAGGAGAAAATCCATCCCGGTCAACCACCCAAACATCAATAACGGGAACCTTATACAGCGCTTCCCCATACCCGTCGAACTCCCGCAGGCACAAAGAAATTACGGAGGCTATCACTTATCACCTGACCAAAGATATGGCTCCCATCAACACCGTTGAAAACGAGGGATTTAGGAAAATGATCAACACCCTAGACAAACGCTACACAGTGCCGCCCCGCAACTATTTTAAAAATGTTGCACTACCTGCTCTATATACGCAGTGTCAAGCAACGGTGGAGACAGAATTACAAGCAGTACAACATTTTGCAGCAACGACAAAATGTGAGACATTTATTGTTTTTATGTTTATTTATTGTTTTATGTTCAGTCTCAACTGTTACGAATTTGATGTGCAGTTAATAAGCGCAATAAATATTTATATTGGAAAAAAAAATCATGAGAGAATCGTGATCTCAATTCTAAGCAAAAAAATCATGATTCTCATTTTATGCAAAATCGTGCAGCCCTAGTCTAGCGTCTTAGTTTGGCTTTCTTGTATTCTGTTTAGTTTTCTGAGTATTTAGTAGCTGCCCTCTGTATCTCTTTATTGTTGTTCTGTGTTTCTTAGTTGCTCTGTCTCCCCTAGTCAAGTCTGCGTCTGTGCTACTTCCTGTTTTACTTTGAAGGTCTGTGTCTCATGTGAGTGTATCCTACTTTGCTTCCTTGTCTCATCAGTTCTGATTTCCCCCAGCTGTGCTCTCCTTCTGTGTCTCATCCCCTCGTTATTTCCCAGTGTATTTAAGCCCTGTGTTTCTCTGTGTCAGTGTTGCAATCTCCCTCTTGCTGTGTGTTTCTCCCTGTGTGTGTTTTCTTAGATTCTTCTCAGTTTAGGTTTTGTAGACGTTCTTTGTTGTTTATCTTAATACAACTTCTTGAGGATTACTGCAGATTCTCCACTGTGTAAAGCAAACAGCGATGGATGGAGCAGCTATAAAGTGTGATTTTTTTTTTTTCCATGTCAGAGTTTGTCATTACTTTTTCCCAGTAATGGTTTTATTGGCGATTGCAGTAACAGCGCTGCTGTTTTGGTTGCTAGAAACACATCTTCTTTCACTTAACCAGAGCTCACGTCTTGGTAATGGCTTCGTTTGCTCTTCACGGTGTGCAAACAGACTACAGCTCCTCGTTAAACTGTGCCAGCGTCAACATGACTGCTCCTGTTGTGTTACCAATGTTTCTGTTTAAGGCTGCGGGCTGTGTGGACTTAATGTTGTCAGCTTTTTTATTCACATGCTGCTCCTAAATTTGTTTGCATTGCGGGTGTGATTTTAGTTGCAAATGTGGATGAAGAGCTTCTACTTCCACGACGACAGCATTGAAGCAAAGAATTTGTGTTGGGAATTTTTTTATAATCGAATTACTCGATTCATTGCAGCCCTAGCTTGCAGTTGTTGCTGCTAAAGGTGGCCCAAGCTGTTATTAGGTTCAGGGGGCAATTACTTCTTCACACAGGCCCATGTAGGTTTGGATTTTTTCCCCACTTAATAATAAACACCTTCATTTAGAAACTGCATTTTGTGTTTACTTGTGTTATCTTTGTCTAATATTTAAATTTGTTTGATGATCTGAAATGTATAAAAAACATACAAAAAAAAGATTGCACAGAAATTCAATTGCCTTGTATTTTTGTGTGAAGCACTTCAAAGGTGCTATATAAATAAAATTTAACTTTACTTACTTCACAAACACTTTTTTCAAACCACTTTATGTATACAAATCGAAAGCACAACCAGGAATAAAGGATTTTAATGATTACTGTAAAACGAGCATTATAAATACAAGATTGCGTACCTCTCTGGGTTCTTGATCTCCTCTGTAATGAAGTTGAGCGTATCCCAGCCAGAGTAAGAGTAGAGTGCTGAATAAAGGGCCAGGGCCATATCACCAGGATTCAGGTTGGAGTCTTTGAAAGAATCCTCAAAGTTCTGGTTAAAACCTACAACAACACAAGGTATACATTATAAATATATCCCATTTTTTTATTTTCATAATAAAGAAATATATTATTCAAATTGTATGGTGTTTTCTTTTTTACTTTTCTCACTTAAGGGAGAGAGGAACAGTTCATTTAGCCACACAACACCCTAACCATGCCCACAGTTTAACTTTTAAATGACTTTGATAAATGTATTTTTAACAGATCTCATCCAGCTGTATTTGTAATTACTATTATTGTTATCATCAATATTATATAAGCACCATGTGTTGAGCCATAGAACATGTGTTGTCTAAGGACCAGTTGGTAGCCTTAATAGTTGTTTTCTAAATAGAGACTATTCAGGGATCCTACCTTGTCCCAGCCTAACCAGTCCGGCAATGATGATGACAATTAGAGCAATGACCTTTGCAAAAGTAGAGATGACCTGAAGAATGGCACCCCACTTCACTTTCATGCAGTTCACAAATGTGAGCACACCTGATGGAAAGAAAGAAGCAGTAAAAAACTCCAAAAGTAGTAGAAAACTACAACTCTAGAAAAGCTTGCAGCTAGAGAATGTAGCTAAAGGGTACAAGTCACTCCTCCTCATATAGAACTGACACGGCACCACCCAAATACCACAGGTTTTATTCAGACCCTGTGAGGAACACCCCTGTAAAAAATGAATCTCACTGCGTGCTTCTATTAATTCCATCACCTGTCCCATCATCTGCTCTATCACTCGATGTTCAAGTCAAACCACATGCATAAGAAGCCCATTTCAAATGACACATTTCATATGGGCGCCATGCAAGTTATTCCAAATGCAGCATGCGTGTTCCAGTAGTGCTGCAGCCAATAGACCATTTTAAACACCTTTCTCCTGAATTTACACGTGGAAATCCATTTTAACTGTTTTGTGTGAAAGATTCAACTGTCTGCAACTGATCCTCCTGCTTGCACAGAAGACAAAGATGCATTTAAGACTTCATCCTTATTAAGACTCTCGCTGTATGCACTGCAATTTACAGGGGCGTGATGTAAAACAGTACAATCTAATACAGTAAACAACTGTATATGAACTTTCCATTGCTTTGGTTTAAAAAAACAAACAAACAAACAAAACTATTTTTTGTGTGTTACAATGCTCTATTGCCAGCTCTTTAACTGAGCTGTCTACAGAAATTAGCACAGAGGTACAGAAACAGATGGGATGTGGTGACGTGCAATTTTTCACATGCTTTATCAGCACACTATTTTTGCTGGGGTTGAAGAAATCTCTCCCTAATTATGTCCAAAAAGATTTAAATCAACACTGCATGGATACAAGCTTAAAACTACATAACACACTTACACCTTTACAACGTCCATGCAAACATAAATAACAGGTAAAATAAATGATGTGAGTGATTAATAGTAAAAGAGGCTTACATATGATGACAGCAGCAATAAGACGGACGGCATCGTAGGGGGCTAAACAGGTGGGGTAGAAAGGCTGGACCAGGTAATTGGAGAAGGTCAGGGCTATCACAGCTTGACAAGCCGGCTCTACAATCATCAAGGATGTCCACAGTCTACAGAGAAATTTTTTTCATCTTAATTGTTGCTTCACGTAACGCTTACAGTAGGCAGGTTTAGTTTATTTACACTGGGTAATGTCAACCTTTGTTTCCGTCTACCATTTAATCCCAGTACAGCACATGCCTGAGTAGTTTATTGTGTTAGTAGAAGGGCTCAGCAGTTCACTGCTTAAACAACAACATACCGAATAAAAGCCAAGAAACCACCAAAGGCTTCAAGGATATAGGCATAGGAGGCACCAGATTTACGGATGGTGGTACCAAGCTCAGCATAGCATAACGCTCCAAACACAGAGAATACCCCTCCGATGGCCCACACGACCAGGGACATCCCAAATGAGCCAGTGTACATAAGGACTCCCTGCAGGGTAACACAGGAGAGGAGATATTAAATATATACACACAAACACACACAGAAGGCAGTGAACCAGCTGTCATTTGAACAAATGTGCCTAGTGATCTAAGATCTAATGTAAATATAGAAGACTGCTCAACCCTAAACCGGACAGCTGTAATACACGTCATCAACAAAAACTGAAGTCCTTCAATTTCAGATTTCTTTAGTAATTAATGTGCATTTTACAGAGAAAGCATTTAGATTTTACTGCTCTGCAACGTTTAAACCACAATAAAAACTCAACCACCCACGCCCCAAAAAAAGGGAGAGACCTACCTTAGGCGAAACAAAGATGCCTGAGCCGATCATGTTTCCCACAATGAGACAGACACCATGAAGGAGGGAAATCTCCTGCTTCAGCCGCATGCCACTACCCTGAGACGCTGTGTCTACATCAGCAACCATTTTGAGGAATTTACAGCCTTTGGCCTCAGCTCAGATGAGATTGACAAGGAAATGATGGGAATGACAAAGTAGTCAAAGACTAGAACAAATAAGAGGTAGAAAAACTGAACAGAGAGGTGCGGGCCTATCACACAAGAAAGGAGGGATCGAGGTGTTGAGTGTCACTGAATGGCTTGAGCTATTGCATGTCTCTAACACTCATTGAAATCCAAGCGGTGCTTCTCTCGGACAATCTGTAAAAGAAACAAGCACACACTGTCTCACAGAAGGGAATTTATTATTATAGTAAACAGTTTTGCTGAGCAGATATGAGTTAAGTGATCCCAGTTCAGTATGTCATCATACACACATCTCTGTTATCTTCCATAAATGAATGCCTTTCTTTATATATGAAGTGCTTTGGGTTCAAATAGCACTGTGAGTGAAACGTTTCCCACACTGCTCTTTCCCATAGATATTACACATTAACTAGAGGTGGGAGTAGGGCTGGGCTATATCATACCGTTCACGGTAATACCAGTGTAATGTTGGGCAACAATAAGAAAATAAAATATTGCGATAGAATATGGGTAAAACGCGCATGCGCAGTGCCTTTGTTTGCATACGCACATGGCGACGACGGAGAATGAGAAGAGCAAAAGTGGATCGTTGAATGAAACGGATGGACCAGAACTGGTTTGTAAATATGCTGCAACTTCAGTGGTGTGGAACTGGTTTAGCTTTCGTCCGTCAGATACACAACAAAGCACTATTTTTGGTAG